AATTTATTTTATATAAAAAAGAAAAAAAAAAAAGTCCGCAATTTGCGCCCCGGAAATGTATAGTAATTCGGAAATAACACCGCTACGCACACCGAAGTTTTGTTTTTCCATATCGAGAACGTGTCGCGCAAATATTCTCGACGGTGAAAGATTACTTTATACGAACGCCGGCGTGTCGACTTGTAGAACAGAATCGTCATTAAAAATTAACGCCTCGAACTGCGAATATTATCGACGACGAGAATTGATACCAAATTTAAATCTCGCACATAGAAAATATATCGATAAATCTTCCTCTCCAAAAAAAAAAAAAAAAAAACACAACCGGAAATATATCATCCACAAAAAGACAAAAGATGTTAAATCAGAGAGAGAGAGAGGAATCGGTTATAAATAATTTAATATTTTTCTTTATACCTATCGACTCGCGTGTTAATTCCGTATCGTGCAAAAATAGAAAATAAAAATATGTACGAAACGCGATTGTGCGCAATTAATACTTCGCAATTATTTCTAATAAGTTGCAAAATAATTATGCGGAACTAACAATAGCGCTTGAGCGATGTGCAACGCACACACCGGCCCCAGCCGCCTGTATCATAAAATAGCATTGATTTCATTGTCCGTTGTCGCGGAGACGAAATGTGTCACGAACGGTGGCGTAATTTTCGTTAATTAATGAAATAGATTAAAACACGGGAAAACGCTCTCGGCGCTGCCGGACGCGGTCACGTTAGTTGACAGCGCAAAAAGATACGTCTGCATATCCGATGCAGGGTCCATTTATACCGTCCATTTGTATACCGTTTATCCGAACTGTGCGAGTTTCCGCGGCTGCATATTGAAAATACTTATTGAAATGATATCGCGACAAGCGTCGCCGATAAGTTCGCACGCATCTAATTACGGACGCATCTAATTACGGACAATCTGTCTCATTATTTAATCACTCGTTAATTCTATTTGTCGAAGGAACTCCGTATTCTGAGAGCACGAGAAGTCGTTAGTGGCGTCACATGAGCTTTCACATGTGGATGGCAATTTTTTGCCTTACAAAAAATATTTTATATATAAGCCAAAATCATATTTTTAATATAAAGAAGAAAAATCATATTTTTAACTACTCTATTTAATATATTATATATATTTTATTTTTATTCTTCCCGATAGTTTTATATACACGTATATTATAAAGTAAAAAAAAAGAAAATTCAAAAACTTATTGTATTATGAGAAAATTACACACAGAACAAGAACTCCATTAGATGTCCATTAGACGTCAACAGTCCCATGCGATATCTAATAGATTTCTAATGGAGTGTTTGCTCTGTATGGGTAGATTTTACATATTTCTACACTACGTTGTTTTCTGGTACTCATAGATGATAATAAAACAACTTCTATCTGTTAAACCGCACTTTGTATGTCTATTCATCTTGCATGAAATTAAAATAAAAAAAAAAAAAAAAAAAAAACAGGTACTACTATTCGTGCTGTTACACGATAACTCATTAACCTTAATTACTATGATTCTTTGATACGTTTCTGCTAATAGCTAAAAGCAGCTAATTACAAGGTGCGTGCGTTTTATTTTCAAATTATAAAAATTAGCTAATTGTGTCTTGCTTAAATTTTTCAATCCATAGTGATTTTGTTATTTGTAATCTACACAATTTTTATATATACATATGTTTATGCTGTGCTTATGAAATTATTTGTAATCTTGCTTCACATTTTTGATTTACATTACTCGAGATCTTGTCATTGATTTTTTTTTTGTTCGGAGGAAAAGAAATTGATTTTAATATGATATCAACGCACTTATCTTTTTTGTTGTGAAAGCACTCACTATGTAATCTGATTAAAAGAGAAGATCTTGCTACTGATTCTCTGTCGTATTTGTACGCACATTATTACTATCTGATACCAAATATATTTACTTGTTAAAAACACTGTGTAAACAATTGCTTCTCACTTCAATATTTTATCGTCTTTCTGATCCTGATTCCGATGGCAAAATCAGTCGAAAATCAGATCTTCGCGGTTTATTTTTATTGCCAAAAAGGTAGCGCATTCAATGCATATTCACGACTATCAGTAGAATTCCAGCAAAAATGCAACAGAATCTGTTATCAAAAGTCTGTCAACAATATATGTCGACATATTTGAGCAAATTTACTGACAGATTGGCAGCAAAAACTTAACAGATCTATCAAAGTTTTACCGTCATATTGACGAGCAGAAATCGAGCAAATTTATCGAAATATCTTTCTCTTCCTCAAAAAAAAAAAAAAAAAAACGTTCAATAGATCTGCTTGAGTTTAACCGACATCTTGTCAAATACAATTGTTGTCAAATACAATATTAGCAGACTCTGCTGGTAGAACATATAAGTAAGCTTAGTGCAAACACAAATGTCTCTGCAGAGTTTGTTTGCAGTTGTGTGAATTTGTTGTCAACCTACCAAAATATTTCTTTCATTTTGTTTTCTGAGACTATACTAATATAATTTTGATTTTTATTCCTCTGTAAACAAAAAATAAAAGCACCTTTTTATATTTTAGAAAGATTTTATGGGCACAAGAGAGAAGGAGAAAGAAAGAGAAGAGAGAGAGTGTGTGTGTGAATATATGCATGATATAAACATTTTTTATATACTTTCACACTTTTTATTTTTATGAAAACTTACTTAATTATTGCTGTTGTGAATATTTTCATCTGTTTAGTATTTTTCAGGACAAATGATTGGATCATTAAGTTATAAATTAGTAACATGTACGTAATATAAACTAAACAACTTGTAATAAACTTTTCTTGTTTTGTGTGTGATATTTATTATACATATATAATCGACTCATTGGGATTTTGAGAAATTAAAGATTTTTTTGATAAACGCGTATATTTTCGAAAATGTAATGTGTACAAATGTAGTTTATTTGCTTGTTTATGTAATCGACATTTTCAAACAAAGTGCTTAAATTATTTGGCCTACAAGAAAAACTTTCTTCTGCTTGTTTCCATGTCATGTCTGCGACCTTGTATTATCCATTCGTAGTCACCGTATTTACTGTCGAACGTTCCATGTTGCAACGATTTCAATCTCAGAGTGAATCGAGGACCTAATTCTCGCAATTTTGCTCTTATCGTCTTTGTTTGATCAAAATCGTATCTGTAAATAATTGTCAATTTTGATTTTATATTAACTACAAGATAGTGTTTTCCATATATATTTAATGTTTTCCGTGACAGCTGAGCTCTTGTACTAAGAATTAAATACAAGCAAATATATATACATGTTGTATGTATACAACAAGATTACCTGTGATGCCTGAAAAATATGTAATCTCTCTGATTGTGGAATGTCACAACTCTTTTTCCTTTAAATTCTGGTTGATAATGAAACAATGCTCCCAACATTCTGCCGACAGTGAATCCTAGACGTGTGGTGAAGTTATTTAGAATAACTTCCGGTCTGTGTTCCGTGAATTCTTTATGGCTGCGCTTTAATTCCGGTGTTATTTTGACGTTACTTAACTTGAAATAGGCAGTAGGACCTTCAGGTAAGTGAATAATCAACATTCCATCTAACAAATTGTACATAAGGAAAATATTTTTAAATTAAGCAGAGAAAGATAATTAAAAATTTGATAAATTTGAGATTTTTTTTTTAATTATAGAATTAAACAATCAATTGTTCAAGAAATGTTATAAAAAGCCAAAACTTTTTAAGCTTTTAACAGCCAATCCCTCCAAGACTTGTGCCATTGAACCCTATTCATATCTCAAGAATATAACATGCATCACATAAAGTGCGTAACAATTTTAAAAGGATACTCGGCTTGCATTGATCCTCATTAATGACTATTATATCCGTGAAGTTCTTGGCGGTCGCACTTTTGACCATCTTCTTAACTCCCGAGCGATTTCTATACAGCGAGATAGAATTGGGTATTATCCTGGTGAGTTCTCTGCCAAAAATTCTTGTTTTTCTATTCGGATTGTCGGCGTACGTGATGAGAACTTTGGGCTCGTAAGTTTTGTTGTAATAAGCGGCGAACTCGTCGTGCTCGCACTCGATCTTGAGCTCCTTGTTCTCCTCGTCGTCCAGGTCGCCGACTATCGTCGTCTCATCCTTCTCGCGCAGGCTTTCTATAGTGTGCGGCACCTGCTTCGGACCACCTTCTTTTTTCCTCGTCTTCCTAGCTTCCTTCTTCTCCTTCGCTTTCTCCTTCAACAACTCCTGAGTCTTCTGAAGCCTCACGGCTTTGCATTTGATGTGATTGAAATTTGTCTCCGAAGGAAACAGAACTTCTGAATTCTTATTCGCCGACGTACTAGGCGAATCTTTCTCATCCTCGTCATTCTCTTTCGGCCGATACAAAGGATTCTTTCGTAAGTTTTTGTCTTTTATTTTGCCCATCGCGTTTCTTGTTGAAATAACAATTGTAAATAATACGCGCACGAGATTGTGACACTCTCAAACCAACCTAACCTAAATCGGCTCTCTGAGCATCCACGTGTTTGAGAGGTTAGAAAGCAACGCAGATGATCGCAGTGTCGCCAACATTGTATAGACACGCTCAGCAGAAAGAATGCAACCGCTGCTTTTACAAACTTTTTTATTCGATTCTTATAAATTTATCGTAAATCTTCAAAAAAAAAATATAAGCGTAAACACAGTTGTGTTCTGCTGAACACAGACGAATGTAAGTAGATTTTTATAATTGCACTTTTTGTGTAAATACATTTAAGTATTAATATAACACGTGCACAAAATCAATTTATACTTTAAACTTGTATTAACAAACGTTTATAAAAAAAATATGTTATATTTGTTATATTATCACTTCCATCCAAGTAACAATAGTAATAGTTATACATATTTCTTCCTTAAATATCTAATGTAATAACATGCGTACTAATTTCACTACATAAAAAGTTTCTCGATTAACCCATGTAAAAGACCACCTTCTAACGTCCATTGTTATCTCTTAATGATACATTTTATATACACATTTTATCTCTCGGTTATCCCACACAGCCCACAATATCCCAAGAATATCTCATGAATATCCGTTGTATATATTGCAATATCCAAAGAATATTCAATGGACATCCCTTGAACGTCAGTGTTATTGGGATATGGACCTTATGTAAAAATCATTTAAATTTCAAGACTATCCACAACACAAAAAATACTGCTATAGAAAAGAGGAACAAGTACAGGATGTAACGATTGTGACCTGCCTTAGCTAGACGCAAAACACGCGCCACTGAATTGGTTAACGAACTATCTGTTCTTTCGAAATCTTCATCCTACAAAAGAAGATAAACTTATGTTGCGTATTTTAAAGTATTAATATATATATATATATATACACACATTATATCTAAAAATGTTCTATTTACAAATTGTACAAATATACGTTTAAAAATCTAGTTCTGCCAATACTGAAATATTAACCATATCGTGTAAGAGCTTGTCTTGATATTTTACTTCAGTACCAATATCAATAGACAGTGATTTTAAGGCATGAATTTTGTCTCTTAACTCATCAGTCATTCTTTCGTTTTCATCTTCTATGACATTGCCTGTAGATGTACTTGGTAATGGCTCGTAGCCATAACCACCTGAAAAGATACAAAATTACAGATGAGTTCTTAGAAATTAGTGAGTAATATATGTTCATCAACGAAAATTGTGTAAACTTACTCGAATGAGCCCGTCGCATTTTGTTAGCAATCTTGGCAGCTTATCGAACAAATCAATACAGACAAAATTGATGTTCTAGAAAATATCGTTAGGATTTGTTAATTATTTTATAAACATAACCTTAAACGAACGTGCAGAGTTTATGAAAAAGAACTTATCCGAGACTTACCGAGCGGTTTTATTATCAATTATTCACCACGTGCTTGAAAAATCCGCAGTGTGCCAGGACGTACAAAATATAATCTATGTCAATAAATACACACGTTACAAACTGTTGACAACTGTCACGATCGCATGAAGTGACGTGTAATCCCACGAGTAGTTGGAGCTTGAGTTAGGTTGGAGTTTGAGTTAGGGTTAGGGTTAGGGTAAGAGGTTAGGCTTGGTTAATTTAAATCTAATTATGTATCCAATTAACAAATATACGTATGTATGTACATCATAACTATCATCGTGTTATTTATTTTGATAAAATTTATTATTTGCAGAATAAATCTTGCCTTAAAAAATAATTTTTTTCTTTGTAGATCTTGGGTATCGGGTGAATTACACACGTACAACACATTGTTTTAGAATCTCGTATTCCAGTTTATTATCTATCGTAATATTATACGGTAAATATATAAAGGCACAAACAATAAGAAGTATTTCGCTACTTTCTAGATCCCTACAAGTTATCAGTGTGTTTCAGTACATATATATATATATTTGTCTACCTTTCGATATGCAAATAAATCATTTCACGTCAACAATCGTAGATAATTACTTTCGAAGACGGTGAGAAACACTTAGTAATAACGTCAACTTAGCTCTTTGATCTCTCGGGAAAAACTTAAATAATTTAATTGTACAGAACTATCTATTCACAACCCTATATAAGAAAAAACGCTCACATCGTATTTGTTCATCATCCTCTCTCTTTCACGTAAACGCGCGGGACGCAATTTCTAATAATAATTTATATATATATATATATGTATATATATTTAATTATTGTGTTACGACACGATTTTTGTTCGATCAAAATAAACATCAACATCTCGATATTATCGCTTATATAAAGTTTTCGATCTGAAAACCCGTACAACAAGAGTTTTCGAAAAAACAATGTTTCTTTCATATATAAATCTTTTCGCAACTACATACGTGTATATATTTCTCTATGTATACAATTCTCTCTCTAACATTTCTACAGTCTCAACGTAGAATATATATATATATATAAATATATAGCGATAAGTACGTTTGATGTTTCGTTCGCGTGTGAAAACGCCGATAAACGTTCGCAAACCGTAAGGAGATCTCACACTGCCATAAAACATGTGTATGTGATTTTATTATTACACGTGTGTCTGTGTGTGTTGCTAACGTAATATTCCTTCTCTCTAACGTACATCAGTATACGATTACTCTACCGATAATTTGATCCCAAGGAGTAATTTGAGATTAGGCCTGAAAAGTTTTTATGCGCAACTTTCCGCCTTCTGTGTATCAATATTTCGCAAAGTTTTTAAATGTTTTTTCTCCATAGACCTCTTATAAATATATATGGACTGGAAATAAAAACACAAATCTGCGTTCGAACGATTAAATAGAGAAACATATTTTTTTGGATTTTTTTTTTTTTTTAAGTGTCCGGCAGAGGATTTTTTTCAGTGCATTTCTCTCCAGCGAGAGGATGTAGGAGGACATGTTTTTTCCGTCTAACTTCGTCTCCGCAAATATTACAGTTTTGATACAGAAACTGTAACATATTTTTTACCAGTCCAAATACATATCTATAAAATCCTAAGGATCTCTCGGATCATCGACTATTTGTTTTTGGAATGTTTTTAACACCACAGAATACTAACGAAAACAAAGAAAAACAAACATCGATCTATTTTTTTTCTCTCTCTCTCTCTCTGGACTGTCACGAGTGTTGAAGATTTTGTACTCTCGCATCCTGTTTAAAGAGAAAAAACTCACGTTTTCTCAAGGATGAGCTACGCACAATCAAGATTAATATAAAATTTGTAAAGGATATGAAAGATATTTATCCAAATACTCTCGACAGCATCTGCTTAATGGATGTTTTTTTTTTACTAAAAATTACGTCTACGAACTAAACTACAAGATTTTCCAACGTTACCCTGAATAGACATACATATGTACACTGTTGTTGAGCATCGGTTTTGTTTGTGTGTTCGGACTTCCTAAAATTGTACAACACAATCCCGTCAAGACAAGAAATTGAATCGTTAGGCAAGAAGACTTCCTTCATATCATGTGCTCCTCGCGAATGATATGAGAATTATCATTGTATTACATTTTGTAATGCATTATTAAATAATATTATCAATTCTTTTTAGAAAACAAAATTAAACAGAAAAAAAAAAGAAAAGAAAATGAAGTAAAATTACGTTTTTTTAAATGCAAGATTACTGCGATTCGATTGCTATCAAATCGAAAAGTGCACGAAGAGAAGATACGCTCTTTCACGACGTATCGGAAAAAAAAGCCTGCTACGTATCGTATGCACGAATTATTTGGGATATTTCGATGTGGCGAAAGAAGGGTTGCTCGAGTGAATGCGTCGCGACGGTGCTGGGCTGGCCGGAGCCGACGGGGACGGTCCGGTTGGTGTCGTCGGCTTGGAACCTCTTCTGCTGCGTCTCAGAGTCGAATACGGGCTAATGCCGCGGTTCACGTGCTCGTGAGCGTAGAGCAACACCCCGATATCCCGATTGCCCGCTTCGAGAGCGATCTTCAGAGCCGAACAGCCGTCCTCGTCGACGATCGACGGGTCGCAGTCCGGATGCGCGAGAAGCTGTCTCACAACGTCAATGTGATTGTGTTCCGCGGCGCACATCAGGGCCGTGCTGCCATCTTTGTCCTGGATATTGACCGCGGCTCCGGCGTCCAGGAGCAGCTGCGTTATGTCTTTACGTCCGTGCGACGCCGCCAGCATCAGCGCAGTTTGCCCGTGCTGTGGGGAAAAAAAATTATACAATAGAAATATTGAATAAAACAAAAAAAAATAAATAAACAGTCGGTGTAACGCATTCAAAGTTTAAAACAAAGAAAATTAAGTAAAAAGTTTACCGCTTTTGCTCGAATGTTCACGTCCGCCATCTGGAACAATCTGTTCGCCACCGAGATGTGCGTGGAATTTCTGAAGTCAGCTAGCGCAGCCAACATCACAACCGTGTATCCCGCCGAGTTCGTCTTGTTGATGTCGCAGACCTTGGAATCCAGCAGTATGGACACCACGTCGAAGTTGCCGTGAGAGACCGCGTAGTGCATCGCCGTGTTTCCGCTTGAGTCCGTCATGTTGACGATGTACTCCAACAGAGTGCCGGAGCATTCCTCGAAGCAGTCCAGGTAATCCTCGACATCTAACGGATTCGCGCTAGATGTGCTGGATATCTTGAACCACTCTAGTTGGATGATGTTCGTGGCGTTCTTGAGCTGATGCGATATGTTTCTGCTGGGCGACTTCTTCAGACTGTCGTTCAGCACCTTCATGGCGGCCTGCATCTCCTTCGAAGGTTCGACCTTTTTCCTGGGCTTGTCTTGAATCGGTTGGAACAGAGCTGATTCCGGTAGCTCGGACTTCTCCTCGTTATCAGCTTCCTTCTCTGCGCTGTGTATCGTAAACGTTGCATTCTTATCATCCTTGCTCTTCTCAGATTGCTGAATGCTGTGGAATAATATCTATTTAGTCGATCGAATCTTTGAAAAAAATCTCTTAAAACTTTATTTTCAAGTAATACAAAACTATAATTAATGCAAAACTATCTCAAAATCGATTTTTAAATCTATATTTAATTACTAATGTAATTTATATTAGCCACCATACGCGTCGCGCTCAATTGCGTCACGAGATTAAGAATCTCTTGATATAAATTGCACCAATGGGAGAAAATTAAAAATAAGAGGTTCGATTATGGCGGGGAAAAACTGTTACCCTTGCGCGGCCTGACGAGACGGGACTTCAGAATCGCTGAATAAACGAGGAGAGTCGCGCTGCGGATGCTGCAGCATCGATCTGTTCGAGATCGAGAACGCGCTCACTTGTTCACCATAGCAAAAGCTCGCGTTCTACACGACGCAGAAGAAGACACAAACGATTGCCGTCGCGATATTTACACGACACGGAGAGAAACCCCCCCCCCGATGACGCAAACGCGCGCAACCATGGACTCAAAAAGAACAACAAACTGCCCGGCGCGCTCTCAGCCGGCGCGGAGCCCTTCGACCCACCCCATTTATCGAGAAACAACCCCTGCGGCGACTTTCAAGCGCGGAAATAACAGATGGCGCGATGTGGCCGAGACGCATAGGGTGAATCAGATGTTTCGAAAGGGGGAATTAATTTTTTCGTTCGCGAAAAACGTTGCAAGGGTGATTGAGGCGCGATTTAACCATGTTAAAATTTTGGTCTAAAAAATAATATAAAACTTTTTGCGGAATAAAATCTACATTATTATTCTCTGCGTGCGCATTGAATATAATATAACAAGAAATCGATTTAAAAATTTTTAAGATTAGAAATAAGTTTTCCGCGTGTGAGATATCATAATCCTTAAAAAATCTTCCTCTAATTTTTAAGTAAAAAGAATAAGCAAGCACATTTATAAACATTTGCTACATCTCACTTTATTTCTTTTAATCGATTGCTGCTGTCGTACTGCTCCTTGTTATCCGTGTCGTATCGTATCACACCGGTCACCAGATTCTTCGTGTACGTGTCCTGGCGCTTCAGCAATCTTCTGTGATCGTTGATGTTCAGAGGTATATGAGACGGTCGTGGAATTCTAGAGACTGAGTTGCTGTTCTGATGATTCAGAATGTTCTCCGTGCTGTTTGTCATCTGTTTCGCCAGACTCTTGATCGTCTCCTTGCAATTGTCGCAGTAATTAGCCGCGCAGGAGATGGAGATGTGCGGCCTCACGGAATCGCCGACCGACACGTCGACGAATTTCTTCTTTATCGTCGAGGTGCTGGCATCCTTGTATTTGGGAGTGAGCTCGGAAGTGTCGATGCCCCGCGAGGTAGTTTTCAACAGATCGTCCACCATCAATCCAACCGATCTGCTCTTCGTCTTGGTCTTCGCGTCGTTGTACTTGGACGAATGGTTCCTCGAGTTCATCAAGTTCAACGACACCGGTGACTGAACGTCAATCAGATCCGGTCCGACGCACACGCTTCTGGTGGAAGGACCTATTCTGACCTCCGTCCCAACTTCTGTCGTTATCGGCTTGGCGGTTACGCTCACGTGCGAGCGCATCTTGAATTGTTCGGTCACTTGAATCGCTTGTTCTCGCTTCTCGACGGGCGATTTCAGGATACACTGAACGCCTCTGGACAGAGTGGTTCTCGGACTCCCGTAGCTTCTCTTCTTATAAGTCTTTATAGCTTCCTCAATAAGAGTCGAGACTTCGTCCTTCGTCAGAATGTCTTTCATACTTAATTCCGTCTCAGTACTGCAGGAACTTTTCTTGACCTCTTTCGTGAAATGTAAACACGAACTATTGAATGTCCCATCCGTGTTGGTGCCAATTTCTTGTAATGTTTTAAGACTGAACGTTTCGTCGTTCTTCTCGAGTTTCGGTATATACATGTCATCCCCGTTCGACAGAATGCTTTCATTGGGTAAGATTTCTTCGATTAGCGTCTTACTTATTTGCAACGATTTGTTCGGTTTGATTGGCGTGCTCGTCACTAACAAACCGACGTCCCTCGTTCGAACCTGTTCGTATAAAAAAGAAAATTCGTTGGAATAAAAATATTTCGCGAGCTATTACAGTCGTTGTAATAATTAAAAAAGTGTGTTGAAGAAAAAAAGCATCTCAACTGAATATTTCGATTAAAAACTTTGACTTGCAAAACGGCTTGCTTATCTCGTTTTTATAAAATAATCGCTCTAACCTAATATATTAATAATAATAATTATTAGATTACTCTACTGGTAATTTATTACGACAATTTTACGACGTAAATAATCATAATGTTAATCGCTTTATGAAATATTACGAACCATTGCGTACCGAGCAGATTATATTACCGACGACGTATCTAGGAAGTTTGAAAAAGAAACGCAACATTCTACTCAGCAGCGTAAACATGTTACAACTAAGTATCCTCACTCTCGAAGTATCTAATTATGAATATTAATGCGAAATACATACATACACACGCGCGGGCGCGAAAGTCGCTCGACTTCGGCGACGACGCGAGCGAAATCACCACGCGAAGCGACGAGGATACACGGCAAAACTACTGGCATCGCCATTTAAATCGCCGATTTTCACTTCTATAATTACGGGAGCGATTGCCACTCACTTCTGAACGTATGCAAATTGACGGATGATTTGCCGCGGTCTTTCTATTTCTAGCTAATGTTGGAAGAGAAAAAACTGCACTCATACAATAGAAGTGATTGCGCGGTAATATTCACACAAACAAGCAAAGTCCACGGAATAACCGAGATCGAAAGATCAGTCTGATCAACAACGACGAGCCTGTGTACCTTTATTTTTTTAAATTATTTTCTTTTATTTGCAAAATATTTTTTTCGCGAATTACAACAAAGCTAACGAATAACTTCAGTTATAAAACTCCGCGATCGGCATTTCTTTTGGACGTTTCTTAAATAAATTTAAATATTTTTTAAATATTTTTATATTATGTTTATATACTATAAACATAATATATGCGCTTTCCTACCGGCTGATGCGAAATCCCGACGTCTCTCGTCATCACGTGACCGCACATGGTTCCTATGTCTTTGCTGGACACGGTGGACTCGCTGGAGTAGCTCAGTTTTCGCATAACTGCGCTGCGCGCTTCCGGGAATAGGCTGCCATTCAATAGGTCGTTGGTGGAATTTATTTTGCTCAGCTCGTCCACTTGCCGCACGAGATTGCGCTTCTCCTCTTTCAGCACCGAGACTTGCACCTGCAGAAGAAAAGGGAAGAGATTGTGTGCGCGAAGCCAGATAAGCTCAGGCAATAGCGTAAGCTTTTATCGAACTGATAAAACTACGAGCGTGAGAAACTGAAGCGCGTTTTGTGCAGTTCGATGCAACTGCATTTTTGAGAAGTAAGAGATTTATCAAGCGCGTCTCACATTAGAAAAACCCCCACATAAAAAGAGAAATAAATAAAACATTTATCTTACGAGAAACGAGTGACTTGAGATGTTTTTTTTAATGTCAAGTTTATATTATTTTATAATTAATTTTGCGATATCGCAATGATTCAAATACCTACAAAAATTCACGGATCGTTGCATTTTCTTGGGAACGTACGAAAGCTATTTCATTGTTTTGCGCATCGTCATTGCATTAAAAGTGCATTAAAAAGCAACAAGGTATCAACGTAATGAGAAAATCTAGATTGTGATAAAGCTACAAAAGAATATATCCCACAGTTTTGCTGCAGAACGGCAGAACCTGCGGCTGAATGCAAATTACATTTGTCGAGTGATCAACGTTAACAAAAGCACAGAAGGGAAGGATGTGAAATTGTTGTGGGAACTTACCTGCAGCATGGCAATCGCCTTGACCTGTTCCTCCAGCTCCTTTATCCTTTCCAAAGATGCCGCCATTTTGTCTCTGATGTTCTGCAATGCATAAAAATATACTTAAACATCTTTTTTTAAATAAATACTTAAAAACAATTCACTAGCGTCTCTATCACAATTTATAAAATCACTATAGTTTGCGATCAATATAATCGTTTTAGTTTTTTATTATTTTAGTTGAAATTTATAGTTTCGGAAAAATAAAAAAAAGTTTACTAGTTTTTTTTTTAACACGATAATTTATTTTCTAAATGCTCGTAAAAATGACGAAAAAAAAATTCTGTAAAATTTTCTAAATGCTCGTAGAAAAAATGACGAAAAAAAATATTCTGTAGAAAAACGATTTCAATAGAAATTCTATAAATCAACTATAATCCACTTGCTTTTCTTTCACTTTGTTTGGAATTTCTTTTCTTCTTCTGATCTTTGTGCAAACGTGAACATTTAATGTCAAATCGCGTATTGTCTAATCAAACGATTGTAATACCAGAAGGAACTACAAAACCTTTTGGATTTTCGCTATCTTTTTTTCTACTTCTGTCATTTTTTAAATACATTTTTAAATTTTACAATTACCAAGAATTAAAACTTACAGATAATGGTCTTTTAACATAGTTTTTAGAATGTTGTGGCGTTTTGATATATTGCATCCCTACTTTTTGCGATGTTTTTGTTGCAACTGTTTCTTTTTGCAATGTTTTTGTTCCAATAAATGCTTTTTGCAATGGTTTTGTTGCAATAGGTGCTTTTTGCGATGTTTTGTTTGTAATTGGTACTTTTTGTGATGTTCTTGTCACAATTGGTAATTTTTGCGATGTTTTTTTTGCAATAGGTGCTTTTTGCGATGTTTTGTTTGCAATTGGTACTTTTTGTGATGTTCTTGTCGCAATTGGTAATTTTTGCGATGTTTTTTTTGCAATAGGTGCTTTTTGCAATGTTCTTGTTGCAAATGGTACATTTTGCGACGTTCTTGTTGCAAATAGTACGTTCTGCGATGTTTTTGTTGCAACTGTTTCTTTCTGCAATGTTTTTGTTGCAATAAATGCTTTTTGCGACGTATTTGTTGCAATAGGTGCTATTTGCGATGTTCTTGTTGCAAATGGTACATTTTGCGACGTTCTTGTTGCAAATAGTACGTTCTGCGATGTTTTTGTTGCAACTGTTTCTTTCTGCAATGTTTTTGTTGCAATAAATGCTTTTTGCGATGATTTTGTTGCAATAGATACTTTTTGCGACGTATTTGTTGCAATAGGTGCTTTTTGCGACGTATTTGTTGCAATAGGTGCTATTTGCGATGTTCTTGTTGCAAATGATACATTTTGCGACGTTCTTGTTGCAAATAATACGTTCTGCGATGTTTTCGTTGCAAATGGTATATTTTGCGATGTTTTTGTTGCAAATAGTACGTTTTGCGATGTTCTTGTTGCAAATAGTATGTCTTGCGATGTTTCTGTTGCAAATGGCGCTTTATATAACGATTTTGGTGCTACGTTTTGCGGCCTTATTATTGTAAATAGTGCGTTTGGCCTCATGATGCTAATTCAAACAATTTGAATTTAGTATAACACCAATTTATCAACACTGTCACTAAGATATCACTAAGGTATATCACTAAGTTATTACGTGATCATTAAGTCACACCGAATTCCGAACACTGAGCGTATGACAGACGTGAGACAGTCGTGTATGGTCGGGGAGAGGTCTCGACGTTTAGCTTACCGAACACAGACTGAAACTATCCATACTCCTTGTACTATCCATGAAGATCTTTTAGTTTGCAAGTGTTTAGTTTAGGTAGAAAGTGGCAGGAGAAATAGAATCTATCCCTACAGGTACATCTAACAAAAAAAAAATAAAAAATAAAAAGACCGTCTATAAATTGTAATTCTTGGCATAAGTTTTTACAAAAAATATAAAAAATGACATTAGTAGAGAAAGGTAGCAAAAATATAAAAAACCTTGTAGTTTTCTCTGGTATTATAATTGTTTGATTAGACATCACGCAATTTGACATTCTTACGCACAAAGACCAGGAGAAGAAAAGAAATTCCAAACAAAAAAAAAAGAAAAGCAAGTGAACTTGATTTACATTTAAGTATATCTGCTCAAATCATTTTACTAAAGGAAATTTTCTTTTGATATTTCTTTTACGATCATTAAGAAGATGAATGATCGTGTCGGAAATATTTGAAAAAAAAACTAATAAATTTTTTCTCCACAATTATGAATTTTTTAATCGTAACCGAGTAAGATGGGTCTTAAAATATTAAAGTTGTTAACAAACCAGTCGCAGGTCAGCATTATTGCTGTCGGAAACTGTGATTGGAAGAATTAATTTGTAATCTTGTGACTAAAATCTTTGTCACATGCAATGACTTCAATGCAGAAGAAAATACTATTCCTATCTTTCTATCGTCTGAGAAATAAAACTGATATGAAAAATTGTTCAAATAAACTTGAGCAGAGAAAGGAAAAAGTAACGTACATAAATCATCTATATGATTCTTTTTCTTCAAGTTTAACCATTTCTTGAACGTTAAAATGAGCATTTAACTATGGTATAATAAATCTTATTCAGGTAAAATGCCGGGGTCGATCCGTAACACAATGCGTCGCACAAGTGTCTTGCGTGAGTGTCTTTGTAGTGTAAGGTAAATAGAAGTTTGAATAAAAAAGGGTAACTAATGGAAGCGTGTGAGCGTGTGTGCGTCAGAGCAAGAAAAAGATAATGTGGTAAGATTAGAAAAAAAAAATCTATAAATGCTTGAAGTCAAAATTATGATTTAAAGTTTGCGTAAAATTTTAATCATTCACTTTTCTTTGTGTGTGTGTGTGTAGGATTTAAAAAAAAATATATATTATTTATAATAATATATATTATTATATATAAGAAAATTAATATCGTGCCTGGAGTGCGCCAGTACTGAGATTCGAATTGCCGCTTCCGATGCTGGCGTTGTCGGAATCTGTTGTCGGATGGTCCGTCTGGACCGCATTTTGCACCGGTGCTGTTCCATTCGTGCTATCTGAAACAATCAGCCGTTAAACACTTACGTGTATATTATTAACAACACACACATTGTATATAAAGTATTAAAAAAAAAAAAAAACAAATTAATTTTATCAGCTGTTGCAAAAAGGTGCAGTTGCGACTCTGTACGTTGGAGTATCCACTTTAATCGACCTTTCTCTCTTGAGATCCCACTACACTTTGCTCTACAACTTTATACTAACTAGGGTAATTTAAATTAAACTGATTCTCCTCTTTTTGCTACACACAGAAATTCTGAAAAATATTATCTTGAAAGAGAAGAACATTTTTACGGATTGTTTAGTTATAACTGTTATAATTATTATAATTATATTAAATGTTAAAATTATTATAATTAAATTAAAATTATTATATTATCGTAAGGTAATTTTTTTAATAGAAATATCTAATTAATCTACCGATAGCGTGTCATAGTAACGTTCTGTGTGTACGCCGCATTATTTTACACGACAATAGACGCGAAGAAGTAATTGAAGATGTTTTCACACGTATTTTTATTTGACACGTATATTTTTATGCAACGTTTTCTCACAGACAGAGTTCACCTGAAATGTGTCTATCCGAGATGTTTTTAATCGATAGTTTTGCAATCGTATCGCACATACACACACACACATACACAAAAGAAGTCTTATCTCGAGTAGTAGCGCCGTACAATGAAAAAAATGCATGACATATGTACGTCGCGGCGAATTCCTTCGACAATGTCGTGATGATATGCCTCTCTCGGTTCGTTGCGACAGGAGAATTTTCAGCACGCGATTCGTGACCGACGTTATTTATGCGCTGTACATACCTTTCAGGATAGAATTTTAATAGCAAATTTTCTGGAAAATTATTGTTTTCGCGAGACATCAATAAAATCGAAGTTGCGAGCGATGGAAAGAGAAACGGACCTTCAGGCGAAGCTTCGGAAGAGAATCACACAGCCAACCAGTAATATATGCCTCGACGTTTGAATTTAAGGTTGTTTTCTTAATTACGGACATTCGATACTAAAAAATGTAAAAGTAGTTGCGTGTCCACGGAGGAGAAGTCGCCCCCGTCTTCCTCTTCGAACTCATCTGAGAGTCGTTCTCCGGAGAAATGTGTCATTATAGAATTAATCGCGCGATCGCTGGACATCCTGCATGTGCGGTGTCATTAAACGTTGATGCGCTCGAATCACATGCCACGCGCGCTGCACATGTGGATTAGGCAAAATAAAAAAAAAAAAAAAAGGCTAAACGCGCTCCGATCTCCCGGCACCGTGAAAGTCGCGGAACAAATGTGTGTTGTGTATGTACATATGTAGCGCCGCGATTGTGCCAATCGCGAGACACAATCGCAATAAATTCGTTGCGCGAGAGAAACAAGCAAAAGAAATTAATAAAAGGCGACTGTCCGTCTCTTCCCCCGAGTTGCGTGTGCGCCAAGAGAGTTACGTCGTTCGCCTGTCGGACGATGTCGGCTTGTCACTGTTGACGTTTATTCGCGGAGAATCGTAAGATTGACCGTTTAAGGGAAAAAGCGGTCTTTGTCATCTCTCTTTCTTTTTCTCTTTATTTTTAATTCAAAAATTATCCCTCAAATTCGAATAAATAAAACCATCACGCGGAGATGCGAAGAAAAATAAATAAATAAACGCGCGTGAATTATGACACAAATGTCAATTCTCGTCACGGCTCTATTCCTGACAAATGGAAGTTCCGTCACATGTACACATGTAACGATAACGAGATGTGCAAACAAGACTTTCCGAACACTGACACTTCGATTCCGCGACGTCGTCCTTGGCACCTCCATTTCTCGTCCGTTCGCGTTTCAAACAGATGCACTTGTCGAATACGGAAAATGGCATCTCTCCCGCGTCACCACGCGCACCAACGTTGATCGGATGCGGTCATATAAAGAAACGAGAGATAACAAAAACAAAAAAAAAAAAAAAAAGAAAAAAGAAAAAAGAGAGAGAAAGAAGCCGATCACGCGCGCGGAGAGGTCGATCGCGTTTTTCGACCGCGAATAAGAGATAACGCACTTGCTTTTGCCGCGTTCACTCGCTGCCTCTGATAATGAATTCGACTTGTCTGGTCTTAGATATCGTATCTTGTTAATTGCGCGTGTCGCCTACAGTGACGCTAATCTCATTCCGCGATAAACAATAGCATCTTGACGCGTCCATTGAATTGCATTACAAAAACGAGACGAAGAAAATAAATGACGCAACACAACGATAACGTCTCGTTTGCTCAATTTATTTTCCGCGGAACCCAGACCGACAAATACAAAGCTAAAGACGAATTTCGCAACGTGTGACGAGTGAAAAAATAGATCTGTCTCCGTGCGAGAGAATGATTTCTTGTTTTTTTTTTTTTGGTTTTAGCGAACTCACGATATTTCCGCTTCGCCTTCATCTTCTTGCAGAAGGGAATCCTCTTCATGATGAAGTTCTTGACCCCCATTTTTGTCGCTCGTGAATTTTCCGCCGCAGATCTCTGACGCTCTCTCTCTCTCTCGTGAAAGAAGATGCACTTCTTCTGCGTTGTTTTAGATACTTGTTGAAGTCGAGTGCTTTGCCGAAGTCGTCGACGACCTCACTTCGATCAGATTATCAACTTCGCTCGGTCGTGAATTGCGTTCGATTTTCAAAAGAACGTTTCTCTGTCTTTTTATATTCTTTATATTGTCAGATAATATTTTGTAAGAAAAAAAAGCATTCAATACTTCTTCCGTTGTTCAGTGCCTTTATTATATCGCAGATCTAATAGATTTTTTAACAAGAAGATTCAGTCTTTGACATCAATGTGATGCGAGTTATCGATATATGTTTTCATTGACAGTGACCTCATGTGTTATTATCAGATCTCTATTTTTTTTCTCGGCTATTCAAATTGTTTCAATTGTCTATTCGCAGGTCTCGATTTTCGCATTAAAATTTCACTGATCGATTTACGATCGATGTCGTCGTACCTTTGTATCACGTCGTCAGATCTATTGTGTTCTCGACAATCGTTTGCTGTTTGAAAACAGATCATTCCTCTTCCAGCCAAGTCACGTGTTTCAAGATTTCAACCTATTTACGAGTATCTAATGGGATCCACAATCGCGACGCGATTCCGTTCGCGCGATCAACTTCGTAGCGACGCGTCTCCAGTAGCGCCAAAAAATGATCCGATGTGTGTTTGCGCGCGAACTCCGCTCTCTCTCCGCTCCGAAGTTTTATCTTCTTTTCGCCGCGAAGCCGGTCGTGAAAACGCCGCTCTCGTCGTCGCAATTTCGCTCGATTTCCCGCCCGATTTCTTCGATGACGAAGCCGCCGATCAAAAGATGAAAACAGCCGTTTTGTCACGAGCGTCGTCGAAACGTCGAAGTCATCATCGCACGAACGCCATGACACGCCGAATTTTACACACTGAGGTCAGTGCATTATTTTCAGTGCGTAAATGTAACACGCCGCGCCGAAATTGGGTCGGACCCGGAATTCTTCGCGCTCGCACAAGCGCACAGCCGGCACGGCTAGTCGCTTCTCGATTGGCGATAAAATTGGCACGAGACGACACGCGCACGAGGAAAGCGATCACATCGTGTCGGGCGCGGGATGGATGCGCGTACTTTGGTACAAATTCGTACTTTTGATACGTTCCGTTCGTTTTTCGACTACGCGCGTCCCGATATACAAACCGCCGCGCCGCTCGCTTTGCCGCTGTTCGCCGCGACGGCGACAGTTAGCGTTTGACTACTGTGTTGCCGTTCGGTGCTCGAGCCAGCCGTTCGTTCACGCTAAGGTGAATAGCGGGAGGGGTTAGGAGAGCGTATCTTCCTTCGCCGGTCTCCTCGCGGCTGCTCGCGATGTGCTACGACGATTTGCTAATCGGGGGAAAAAGAGAACTTTGCGGTATCCGGCCCCCTCCCCCCTCTGGCTTGATTGCGCGAACAAAAACGCGCGCTCTTCGCGCTGCTCGCTGTCGCGAGACATCTTTATCGCGCGAACTTTTCTTTTTTTTTTTTTTTTTTTTAAATTTTAATCTCTCACCGATTTCCTTCTGCGTTGAACGGTATAATAAATAGATACGAACGAGATCGTGTGAATTTTCGATTATAAATTTCGAATACATACGTATTTATAATGAGAATGAATAACGGGGGAAAGTCAACACGTGTATGTTGCGGAAACATGATCGTCGAAATTAAATTTTTCGGCGAAATCGGAGTTTATTAACGCAGAAGTTGCGTTAATACAAATTTCGTCAGGATACACAGTTTAGTTAAAGCGTGTTGGCATTCGTGTTGTTGCCGTGAGCTCTTTATTCATGACTTTGTTTACAGTTAAATTTATATTAACTGGAATTTCGCGCTGTTGCGCCGCAAAGAAGCGGAGAAATAATTGATTGTGCGCGCTTTCGTTGCGCTTGAAAGAAAGTTTCGGTGAGAAACGACGTAGTTAATGACGCGAAGAAAATTAATAATGAACTCGAAAGAGAGAGAGAGAGAGAGAGAGAGAGAGAGAGAGAGAGAGAGAGAAAGAGAAAAGTTTACATCGTGCGAATATTCGTTTATATTTTTCTCATACGCGTTATTAATTAATATTATCTGCTTCTGATAATGCAACAATAATTGGATAATGCCACTTGTTGGAAATTAATTAGCTTTTACCTCAATGAAAATATATATATATTGCACGTGAAAAAGTAATCGTTAAAAAATTTTTTTAATATTAAATATAATAGGCGGCCGTGTCTCTCTATGTAACGCGCGTAACAGCTGAAAGAATATTCATTAATCATTCGAAAATTGATCGATCAGAATTCGCAATTTTGTTAATTAAGAACATGCGCGAACAGCAGCAAACCTTAAATCGCGATTGTATAACACGAAGTCTTCAAACAGGCGTTTATAAATCGCTTCTCTCAAGTAATTAATCGAGGTATTTGTTTGCGCACGCACGAACCCGAATTTTATAAGTCTGATAAATGACAATTATTCAAGATTACATTATATGACACGCCAACGAAGAGGGAGTGGAGGACACACGTAACATCTCCAAGGCCCGTCGGAATCCTGCATATATATTATTTATTTGTGTTGCTTATTTGTCCTTCTCGATTACGCCAGTTTCGTTGAATTTATCTTCGCGTCACACCTTCGGAGTTCTCGCGATCGTATTTTCGTTCGTTCCCGATGCGCGTGCTTCGGAAATAGTTGAACCAGTTGCGCGCGCGTGCGTGCAGCGCGCGACAGGTGCTTGGCGACCATATGCGACCACCTTGCCCGGACAAGGTTGCCACCTCGAAATGGCAACTAAAGCGATGAAGTCACAAGCCGTTTTCATCAAATCGCGACCTAATCGTTTCCACGCGATAAACTCCGTTAGAAGTTTTAATCGCGCTAAAACTCGCCGCGCGGTCTCTCTCTCTCTCTCTCTCTCTCTCTTCGTGACTGCGCACCGACTATTTTCGGAGCGCGACTTGAGGTAAAAACTTTTCAGCGACTCATTTTCTGTGTTTATGACAGCGACCCAACACCTCGTTATTACCTTCGTAACGCGCACCGCTTAACACACTTTTTCTCATCGGACACGACGTCCGATGCGCGCGCGCCTCGCTCCGAAATTCTGCATATTTTCTGAAAGTATCGTATTACGTTGATTAAATGTTAACATATACAACACCCTGTGCCGAGCGGAATTTACACTTTTAATATCGATCAAGACAGAAAGAATTACGTGGATAAATAAAGGTATAAGAAAAAACTATTAAAATTGCAATTGAAAATTGAAGAATCGATATACTTGTTTTTAATTAAAAAAAACAAAATTGTATTCTAGAACTAAATCAAACGATAATTTCTTACACATATAAATAACATCGTTATTGTGCGTTCCCTTTGCGATTTTAATATCGTTATCGAAGCTCCGTTAAAGGCCGGTGTCCGCTATGCAAATGCGATTGCGTCATCGCGCGGTGCATCTTCGCGGTGCGCCGAATTCGCGGGCGAACGGAAGGGGGGGAGTAACGTGTGTGCACGCGGAACCGGCGTGGTTCGGTCCAAGCTGCCGGGGTAACACACGGGTGGAAACATCGCACGCTGCCGCGCCGATGCAACCGACGTCAGTACAACGACCGGAAGCAGGTGGTTCCAGCCATGCACCGCCGGCTTCCCCGGCGCGTTCCGCAGCGCGAGCCTCGCGAACACGTTATACGCACACGTTATATATATGTATATGTATATACACATACGCTATCTGCTGCGTGGCCGCGAGGAGAAACGGCCGGTGACTATCTCTCCGAAGCGTGATTTAGGAGTAGCACGTTATAGAGTGTCTATACACAAGAAACCGCAAGCGCGACGTGACGCGCGATTAAAAGGGTAGGATCAGGCGTCATCAAGTGGGGATTTAATCGAGCGGCGGTTTTATCACAAGGTAGCTTGTTTGGCAAGGTATCCGATCGCCAGAGATGTGAATTGACGTCGGTATGAATTATACCTGACGATCTGATAATTGGCGGCTCAACATGCATCAGTTTTTTTTTTTTTTTTTTTCCCTCGGGGTCATTAACTCGATGCGTCTCGCGAGATGTATCTCCCTTCTCATCTCGTTCGAGTTGCCTCTCGAGTTGCAATTTGTTACACGTTTTTTTTCTCTCTCTCTCTCTCTATCTCTCTCTCTTATGGAAGTCCGACAACGGACGACGGGACTTTCCTCTGCTTCAAAGTCTATATCCCGCTATATCTTTTTTGAACGATTCTGATTGACGCGAGACTGAATTACGTAATTCAGTGAAAACTCGCGTGCGATATATTGAAATATTATCGGTAAAACATATTTCCGTAGCTGCAAGATAATAATTTAACAAATGAAAAAATATATAACGCGGCAATTTCAGTGTCAAAATATTAGGAGATGAAATTTAATATTTAATTTTGAAATATGTATATTATCCCCCAATTTACCTAATTAACACTTTGCGGAGTTATTTTGAGAAAAGACAAAACACACAATCCAATTTACTCGAGAGATCTCCTCCTTGTTCAAATGTCACTTTCTTTAGAACACTTTGTTTTACCTCTCTTCCTCTTTCGCACTCTCGCGCGAAGATCGCACGATGCTAATTAAGACTTGAATAGAAGATACCGGGGGGGCCCGTTTTCTTCCTTGCGACACGTTTCCGTTGTCGGCTGCCGGTTGCACGATAAATCGCGGAACGAGAGTAGAAACAAAGAGAAATCTCTCTCTCTCTTTCTCTCTCTTTTTCTTTTTTTCTCTTTCTCTCTTTTCGCGATTAAGTTCTCTCGTCGTGAGAAACTGACGCGATTGTCGCCGCGTGAAACACAATCGGACCGGGTATAGCACAGGCCGTCTTTATTTTAATCGCCGCAAGAGAGAGAGAGAGAGAGAGAGTGAAATGCATGCGAAGTTACCGCCGGCGTCTCGAGATTACCGGGTGAGAGCGTACGGTCCACGGGCAAAATAAAAAAGTCATAACGTCGGCTGTATCAGCGACCGTCTCATTTTTCAATCACTCGCGAATAAAGCGACTGACTCAACTCGCTGCCCGATACGATACCCTTCGATGATTTCAAAAAACTTCCTGTTTGCTCTCAGAGAAATGTTTCTTTTTATCGTAGCTAAAGTTTTTTTTTTTTTTTTTATTACCGCAATATAATTATAAAAATTATTTGTGATTAAAAAAAAAAAATTACCGCGATACACACACGCTTCGTATAAATATAAAAACACAGTAAAATTTGAAAGCCACTGCGCGCGAACCGCTACAAGACACGCTCGGCTTCCCGAGGTAATGGCGAGATAAGCCGTTTTGAAGGCGTTTAAGAAAAATAACGGTCGATCAAGGTAGCGTTTTTATAAAAAGACATATCTGATAAAGTTGAGAACTCGAGCGTTCGGAAGAAATGCGGCGCGCAGTTCTCTTCCTAATTAAAGGCGAGCGAGCGCGACTTAAAGAAGTTATAAAATTTCGAATTTATATATCATTTCGATGGAATATGCCTCCTTACGTATACCGCACATTTCGTGATAAGGATCGCTTAATAATTGTAAGTGCGTTCTCGTTGGGTGTATAATAATAAAAAAAAGAGACGGGGAAAGCAAACTATGCGGCGCGTTTCTTTCTTTCGCTTTTTTTCTTTCCTCGTTTTGTGAGATTAATTGCCAATGAATTGATGAAATTTTAATCACTTTGTGTGCAGCTTCTGCAAAAAAAATTCCGCAAACGAAACGCGAGAGAAACCTCCTGTCTGTGCATTAATTCGATCATCATCGCGCGGCTACAACAAGCCGCGAGAAAGGGGGAATGCATCTTTCCCACAATTATATCACGAAACAATGTTGCATCGTGCGGAGAAAATTTGCGCCGCGCGCAATTTGCATCAAGGAATTCAAAACGGAAGAGGTCGTAAACCACGGCGGAAGACTCACCGCGCGTTGTACGTTCGTTAACCTTGCTTCCTAGCAACTTTAACCAATTATAACTTGCTTGGGTACTTACTTTCGATTGGCGCCGAGATGCGCCGTCTTGTGTCCGATTATCACCTACGGCTTGACGAAAGCTCTCGGATCCCGACAAAAATCGATCGCGCGCGCGCGCGCGCGACGCGATTTCTCCATCGACGGCGCGTCGGACAATGCGATTTCCGTGGCGATTTGTTCGCGGGCGAGACCTCGTGAAATTAGCTCGGGTGTCCGTAACAAGGCG